ATAATAATATATATATATATATATATATATATATATATATATATATATATATATATATATATATATATATATATATACTGCAAATGAGTGGATATGCAGAAAATAGAGGATGACGCTGACGGGAACAGCGAGTACGGGAAAAGGATGAAGATTGTCTTCTGAGAAAAGAAAAATGGTACCGTTAATCAGTATTGGTGATGAAGAAATTACCGGACAGTATGTTCATCATAGTTCTGAATTCCTTCTGACCTCACCATTTGGATACGGAATAGTAATGAAAAAAATTATTTGAAGTTGAGAAAATACATAAAAGTGGTCAAACAAGAAACAATCATTAATCATTTGGAATAATTTCGGCAATAGAATTTAATGCTAGTTGGTACCTTTACCAGCTTTCAAAACTTACACGAAAACATGCTCATTAAGATAATTTTTGATCCGGGTCAAGTCATCTCTAAAATTTGTTTTGCGAATGATTGATTGAATGCTGTTTAATCCTCTTTCTCAATTTTGCTTAATAAAACTGATGATCATAGAACCATTTGCGCGCCTTCCAACACAAATATAAGTCAAATGCATAAGACAGTGATAGTGTATTATCTTCTTCAGATTTGCAGATGTTTTTGATGAAAACAGAAACCAGAAGGGAACAATGAGAAATATGAAGGACTTTTCAGATATCCTGTAATTAACCTTCCAGCTGATAAACTCGTCTTTCATTAAATAAATCATGCACATTTAATCATCGCCAACATTTCGTAGCGATGACGCAATATTTCCACGTAAGAATTTCCTTCGAGCTGCTCTATTGTTAATGCTGCTAACGAAGCACCAAAATGCATGTTTCATAGCATGTTGATGAGGAAATGATGCTATATTGATTGATTTATTTTTTGGTAATATCACATCATGACATCTCGGTGTTGTTTAACGCGGTGAAATCATTTTGTGCTTGCGAAACGGTCTAATGATCGCGAATGATCGGTATGTGTACGTGTTGTATGGATGATTATGCAAAAAAGGGAGAGATTCGTCAGGAAGTCAATTAAAATCGAAATATACCAATTATTTTGTTTACTTTTCCATCAGCAATTGAATAAAAAATTATTTTTCCAGTCGCTGAGAAATGGCTGACACGGCTGTTGTTAAAGGTTCACAGATCGCACTCAACTCAATTGATATAACCAAATTTTCTTCTATCTGTGAAATGTTTTATTCTAGAGCCTGTATTAGCGTTAATTATTTACAGTTGCAAATGTTTAACTCTAATTAAGCTGTAAAATGATAGGAAATAGAATGATCTTTTTATAGTTAATGACAAAGAACGAATAACTTTATTAAAAGAATGAAGAAATGGAATTGGTGTAACTTAACATCAAACCTATCAGGACAAAAGATAAAGAAGTGTCCTTCACCTTTCATCCTATGAATTATTGGGATTCTATAGGTATTATAACATTTCATTAACGAAGCTCAGATCAAAGAGTTAGAACAAATGATTTCAGGCAATGCTTATAAATTTTCAGCCTGAGGGTAATTTTTTAAATTTTAAACGATCAGTTTTACCAAGAATTGTCCTTTTTATCATTGTGATTTTGCTCAATTTCTTTCAGCATCACTATGCGAAGTAAATTTCGACAAAGAATATACAAAATTTTAAATTGCAATGGGAAAAAGCCATTGGCATTGTGGCGATGGAAAAGCTCTCTGTGTGAGAGTAATTCCATTTGCCGATACATCTTATTCTGGACACTACCGCACTAGGCAACATACGATTCTACGGATATCAGGCCCAGTGGTTGATCGATAAAGGACACTCTAGGCGGTAGCATATTGAATTTGACATCATTAAATCTAGACCTTTTATTCCAAGAAATTCCTATGAACTGATAGAAAATTATCGATAATACAGGGGTTTCCTGGTAAGCAGTTCCACTACCATAGGTGTCAGCAGTTAGGTCTTTTGGAGATGTCCACTCCGAAATTACTATACTAAATAAACAATTATGATTTTGTATTTTTAACACTTATCAGACTGGCACAAATGTGCATTGCATTACTTAAAAATATTGAGGTATTTTAGAGATCCACTTGCGATCGTTGGTATCTTGATCGATTCGGTTCTGCAGAAGTATATGAAATCAGGAATAGAACTGAATGGATCGAATAATTGTGCAGTGTGTTTTTAGAGAACATCGAACTTTTTGATGAAGAGAAAGGATGCCGGAGAAGAGAGAGGGAAGAGCGAAATAAATGGTACCACATTGGATTTTCCTCAAATGATTACCTGGTTAGGGCAGTTTCAAAAAATAATGATGCGCTTAGAGGATAGGGTAGCACTATATGGGTTTGTATATGATAACGATGCAAACACAGACCTCACAATATATTCCATTGATCTTCCACTTATATCCGGAGTACAATTCTAATTCCAATTGAAAACGCCGGTGGGAGAAATGGTAAGGCTATTCTTGGGGACCGTTTCATATTTTAGGAACGCAGATAGCTTTTTTCAGCTTTCGTAATATATGAAGATTGATTGATTGATTAATTAAAAGATAAACTGATAAGCAATACTGTTCATATGAATCAAGATGAGACACGAATGCTAATATAACAGGATACAAGCTTTTCATCCATTTCGGCTTTGCTTTTCATTTTCATATTGTCGTTTTCCTTTAATCCTTGCTAGTAAAATTGAGTAAAAAGTTAACTAACCACTTTTATGAGAAATTACATGGAGAAAGTGCAAGAAGATGCTCATTTCTCAGCCTGGTAAACAGTTTGGAATATCGAATTTTGGAACAAATTTCGGTGGAAGTTTTCCTCTAAATCAATTATTCCAGAAAGTGTTCGACAAACGCACTGTAATTTTATGCAAAATTTTTTTTCCAGTGAGAATAACAAAAAATAGGAAGGGAGAAAGAGAGAGAAAGAGAGGTAGGAAATTTTGGAAATGTAATGCGGGAAAGAGTTTTTACCCAATATGAAGCCTATAGGAGAAATGTTGTTCATAAAATAATTTTCAAATGAAGTGCATTTGCAAAATGGCACTTTCTACTTCACTTCTTGCACTATCAAATAAATATGCATATACTTTCCTAATTTATTGCTTATAAGATTTAATAATGAGTTTTTTAAATTAGATATATTTGAAATGAAGGAAGGATAAAGATGCAATACTTTTATGCTTTATTTATTTGTTTCACTTTAAAAAGCTTATAAAGATGTTGAAGGGATGAATAGTGTTGAAGGAAAATAAAATAAACAAAATATGACCTGCATGGAGGTTTCAATGAAATGTACTACACTTCATGATTCAACTACAGGCTCGTTATTGTTGTAAACCTAAGTTATATCGATATCATGGTTTCCTCACATCCACTTTATAATTAGACCGCTAACTGTTAAATGTGTTCAATGAGTTATTTGTTTGATTGGTTCTGTTCATCGGCCTTCGAAGGAAGGGAATTTGGTTTTTATTCAGATTAAAGCTTAAAAAGTAGTGCAATGGTATTTGAAATAAAATAAAATGGAAAAAAAAAAAGAAAAAAACGATAACGAATGGCTTATTATTTCCAACGTACGCCATTCAAAATTTCAAACTGTTTGATCGACTATGTTCATCGATCTCAAAACCTCAATAGATGTTAAAAAAAAAGTCAAAGTTTATACGTCGGAGAAAAATGTAAACAAATCTAAATATAAAATATCAATGAATGCTTCAAAGTAAAATTAAAAAGGAAATTTAAGTTAACAAAAAGAAATTTAAATTAATTCACAAGAGAGGAAAACGAAATGAAAGAAATTTCATGCATGTTTCAAGAGAAATGGATGAATTGAAGAAGTTGTATCATATTACATTACAGAAATGCAAAAATAAATTAACGATGGGCGATGAAGAGAGAGAGAGAGGCAACAGATGTTTTTATGGGGAAATAAAGGCTTCTTCAAAACAGACATATCACCATCTTAATGAGGAAAAATTTAATCATTATAAAACTTATTGGAAACTCATCAAATACCTTTTCTATGCTTCTCTTCAGATACTTTATTTCTAACAAGCTCAAACTGAAATAATTTTCAAAATAGGAATGAATACCAATTTGAAACGAATTAAAAGTACAAATTGATTCTGGTAATGATGAACTTACTAGCATAGAATTATATATTTCAAATCATCATCAAAAATAAATCCTGCTTGTATTCCTCACTTGACCCGTTTAGTGCTTCGAGTACTACAAAAATTTTCAGCTTTTTAAGGAAAAATTCTAAATTGTGTCGGAAAATGTAAAGTTTGTAAAGGACATAAACAGTTTTCTAGTAAAGGTACAGCCTTAATTATTTGGAAACTTAGAATGCATATCTGTGTTTATAATTTATAGAGTGGCATGAATTTGGATGCTACCGTATGCAGCAAAACAGTAATAATATAAATAATCTCAGAGAACTTACTGAGGTTCCCATTCAAAGCATTGAATACAGCAGTTTCAATCCGACAACACCTTTTCCTTTGCCTTCTGCGCCCATCTTTACATCACACAGTGAACACTTCATTACTTCATTAACTACGACAACGATTCAAAAGAACATAAATTAATGGAGTGCCAAAAAAAAATGTAAAATTGATACAGAAAAGCAAGAGACAGTAAGCGATGCATTCACGCCAACAGGGGACAGGTATCCCGAAACTGCCCGTAATCGGCTGCAGAAACTGCTGAAAGCCAGTCCTACCTGTGTGCTCATACCACCACCAACAACATTACAATAATTCGTTTGCCTATTTCATTATATCTGTCAAACATCAAATTCTAAATCGATTGCTGAAAAAAAAAAAATAGAAAAAGGTGCGTGCAACTCGTCACCATGGTAAGATTAAATTTTGGATGATTTGAAACTTCTGAAATGAAAAAAAAGTATGACAAAGTTATCAAAATTCTCTTCAAACTGGTCCGAATAACGCGAAATTAAAGAATACGGAATCTATTGAGGGGTTGAATGATATTACCTTGCACTTGAACAGATTAGTAAAAATTGTTCAAGATTTAAGCAAATCGAAAGGCTGATGGCAACTTTTGACAGATGACTCGCCCAATTTCAAACGCATTTCACTCCATCTCCTCTGATAAGTTCGAATAGAAAAGCGATCATTATTTAAACGAACCCCAACTTCAATTAGCAAAATTTGTTTGGAATTCGTTAATAGTGCAATGGGCAATAATATGATTGGTAATTTTACCCGAAATGGCTAAAATTATATGAAAAAAGTAATAAAATGGATAGGTTGTTTTCGATGAGTTCTTATCATCATTATGGTCCTTTCTTATTTACATATTCAAATTTATGAAGTGTTTTCTGCTTGTATGTATGTACGTACTCAAACTTCATTAAAAAGTGCATTTCTATTCCTCTTCCCTACACTTTAAATATTTTAAGCCGGCTGTTCCCTTCAAAGCATCCAAGTAAACCTTCCCTTCTTTCTATCCTCATTTTCTAGGCAAAAAAAAAAAAAAAGAAAAAATGAAGTCAATGAATAACTTTCAGCAAAAGAAAAAATTAAACTTTTCAGAAATTCGGGAATCTTTCAAGCTGAAAACATTCATGTTAGCCGTCATTAATGATTACTATAAACATTTAATCCAGTTATTGTATCTTTCAATGAATACTGTTAAAATGATTGATAAACCGGTTTTAGGTTTGTTTCAAATTTGTTCAATCTTCCCATTTCGGAATTTAAATCTACCCAACAGATTTTTAATAAATTCTTTAAGGAAAAGATAAATTCAACTGAAATAATTGAATTTCATAAATAATAACAAATGAATTTTCATTTAAGCCATTTCCTTTTTTCATATAAAATTTGATTATTTTACAGAGAATCTTAACGTACATAAATCAAATACCATTAGAGATTGTGAAGTTATATTCTCGTATTAATTAATATTTTCAAGATTTAATCAGCCAAAAATGAACTCACATAGAACTATAGCTGTTTACCTTCTTACTCTCAATCACTGCATCCTCACTACTCTCCACACTATTTCATCATTTCTAAAACCTCTTAATGGATAATGTCTTGCCAATCTTATTAATCTATCATCTAATATGCATGTCAATATTTGCAGCTTTTTCAATTTATATTAGTACACTGTTTGAAAAACCTCTGCTACTCTCTGCTACCCTCCTTCTCTTATACTATAACATCTTTTTTTTTGCTTTTATCTCTATCGCCTGACTGCTTTTCATTCTCACTTGTAATCTCTGAATTGTCGCTGTGTAATTAGAAATATGGGATAGCTTGTTGTTCCAGTTTAGGTTCGGATTCATGTCTAATTTATAGTATTTTAATTTGTTCCAAAAGCATTTATGATAAAGTACAGTATGATTTCCAGACAATGCTTCCTTCAACGATGGATGATTTAAAGGATGAAAGGAGCAAGGACAGTAATAAAGCACTGTATCAAGCAGTGAAATTGTTATGGCGACTGTTTAATCGTACAGGTATCTCCCGTAATATGCTTCCCAAATTCAAGATAGTCATCATATTTGGCGCTTCCGTCACAGCGGTATATTATCTCTTCGTTTAAAAAAAAATTCATCCTTCAAGGCCGAGCAGGAATGACCCTTCTACTATGTGTACGGAGTTTGCGGGCTCTTCAAAGTAGTAAGTGATAAGCTCCCCACTTCGCTTACCAATTAATTTGATACTTCCTTTTCGAAGAGGGGTATTCCGGTCAACTTTCAGGACGGAAACTTAGTTCTCTGTACTTCTGTAGTGATAGTATAATTCAGTTAAATTTTACATTCAAATAAATGCTCGATTGAAGTTGTTGCGATTATTTGCACATTATGCATGCATCGTTATTGTAAGCAAAGGAGCGGTTGCACAATGTCAGTATATTTTCTAATCTTTAAGTTTAGATTGCCTACACCATGTTTAGAAATGAGAATCACTTCCTTATACTGTGATTTTCCCTTCATATATCAGTACATAACGTAGTACTTCTCAAGACAGTCAAGAGTTTTCCCATCAAGTCAATAGATAGAGGCAATTAGAAAAGAATTAGAAATAACGAAAAAGTGAGGTGAATTAAAAGATATGAAGTTTCAATTTTATACATTAAGCTTCTGTATTATCTGTCATTGGACTGGACAGTTTTTGTGGAAGATCAGAGTTATGGAATTGCCGCTGTTCAAGGTCAACAGGTCCGTTATCAGATTGAATCACGACCTTGCTCCGATGTGAAAAAGGATTGCTATACTGTTTATGATGCTGTCGATATATTTACGTAAGTTTCTTGTATTTCTTGTATATTAAATTATATCTTACACATATAATATTTTATATTTTATGAAATTTTAAGTCTTTAGGCTTCTTAAATTTTAAGGTTCAGCAAAAAAAAAGACTCACTGGACCGATTCCATATGATTTCTGGAATTCCTTCGGTTTTTCATAAGAGCTTATAGAAACGTATGAAGTGGAGTAGAATATCACCTGCTCTTCAGTTTTTTCTTAGGAAGGTTTGGAAAACTCAAGCGAGTTTTGTTCAGGACGGAGAATGAGGTCTGTCTAAATTGAAGACTCCGGAGAATTGTAATGAAAAAAATATGTGTTTAAGCTGTTTGCTCATTACTGAAGTTGGCTTAAATTAATCCACTTGAAATTAATGAGCGTGTTATTTTAGTGGTGATGTTAATCGTTTTTTAATAACACGACATGTTCGAAAAAAACACGAAATTGTTGTACGCCTCATCCCACCTACAGGTTCGGTTTGAAATTTCCATGAGGACTTGAAATTGTTGTTAATTATTGATCCTGTTTATGATAAATTGCAGTTGCTGAAAGATAAATTTACAATAGATGAGAGATTGTGTTGGTAATAGTTTTTTGAAATTTAGGTTCCTAAAGTTTGTATTAATATAAATATATACAAATTGAAGATGGATTGAACATTTTCGTCCACAGTCATTTCTGAATACAGTCTATTTGTCCAAATTGTGAAGAAAGCATTTAGGTATCAAGTCTAGAGAGTCGGATTCACGGTTCTGGAAAGTGAATCATACGCATATCAATAGGCAGTATGAAGCAGTTATGTTAACTGTACCATTTGGTGTTGCTGCGTTGACACTTTCTGATTACGCCAACCTGGCAGCAAATGTTCTGATAATCGGTCTTGGTAGTGGCAGCATGAATACGTTTTTGATAGATCGTTTTCCGAAGGTGGCTTTTTCGGATATTTTATAGATATATTGTCAGACACCCATTGAAGGTGATTAGTTTATACAGTGGGCCTATTGTGGTTGTTTCTTTATTGATTGCTAATTCCTGCAAGAATGTAATCAGTAAGTTGAGATACCGAAGCTTAGTTAGGGAGCGGAATGTTTAAAATGAAAAATTTTAACAGATAAAGAAAAACTTAGAATTTCAAGGGGAAAGTGAAAATCATGGAAAACTAGGAAAAAACTGGCGAAAAAAGAGTTGGATAATGTTCAGTATGAAACTGTTTTTCTTTGTGATTTCAATTTTTTTTTGAAATCCAATTCAAACTGCAACATTTGGGGGCCATTGTTTGGTACGCAAAAGTTATTAATTTTTGAGGAACTTTAATTTCCTGTTCTGTTGTAGATGGCAATAACTGTTGTCGAACTGGACGAAGTCGTTATTGATCTAGTGTGGCGGTGGTTCGGACTGGAAAAAAAGTATGGAAAAGTCCAGATTGTCACAATGGATGGCGTAAAATTTATTGAAAAAGCAGTAACTAAGAGTAATACTTTTTTCTTAAAATTCTTTGAACTTGAACATAGAATTAAAGTCAATATTGAATTTAATCTTATGATTTGGGTACCTTATATTTAATGCAAATGTTGTTTTAAATCGTTTACATATCGAGCACAACATCCCTTAACTTATGTCAATTCTCATCACTGATTTCAGAAATCCTCTTTGATGTTGTACTCATTGACGTATGTGACGAAATTGGCGATGTAATTTGTCCTGCTGAACCATTCGTCCATCCAAATTTTATCAAAAATTTGAAGAGAATTCTGGAACCGACAGGTATTTCACTCTATTTTTTTTGTCTAAATGGGTTGATCCAGAATCTCATTTTAAGAATTTTTACTTACATTTTCACCTCTTTTTTTGAAGCTATATTTAGCTGAAACAAAAAATTACGTTTGCAAGATTTATTGCTATCATACCTATTACTATCATACCGATGATTTCAGGAATTGTGGTACTAAATATTTTGCCACGTGAAGAGGTTTTGGATAAAGTCGATGAGGTCATATATTTCAAATATCAAACTAATGATAATATAGTAGCGATACAACACGTGGAATAGAATTCTTTTCAGCGTTTTCGATTGGTTCCATTTAGCAAAGAAAAAAAATCTATAAGTTGGACTTAGTGACAAATCTGAAATACCTATGCCATTAATAATTCACATATAACTTAGGTTTCTTGATCTCAATAACTTCTTACTCAATTTAAATCCAGTCTGTAATCTGTTTATTTCTAATTTATTCGATTTCAGCTGTTTTAGATCACTAGGAAATATTCCATGGCAAGGAGTTTTCGAGTTTATGGGTCTTTGAGTTTGAAAGTTATGTCTTGTCACCTGTTCCAGTTCTGTCTTGCAGGTAGTGCATGCATATCAAAGGCAGTTTCCAACATGTGCTGTTGCTCCGCTGCTTCATGAAAAGAACAGAATACTAGCGTGTCAAATTGTACAGCAAGTTGACCCTCATACCAGTCAACGTTTGATGTCCCAACGATTTCAAGAGACTTGGAATCATTTCGGTTTCATCCAATTGTTTGGTGCCATGGAAATGTCTTTCGTAAATGATAAAAATAAAGCAGAAAACATTTCACGCTATTGAATTTTGAAATTCTACTTGAAACCAATTCAGCACAATAGTGATTCCTAGTATTTTTTATATTCCCATGCTTTAAATCACTTGATTATTGTGAACAAAAATACATATACTTCATTCTTCTGGAAATGTCAGTCAGCTATAATATGCAGAGATGGGTGGAATAAGACTAGGAATATTTCGGATTAGTTACGTTTTCATTAAAATATGGAAAGCTATTAGTATGGACGGTTGTTGTTTATTTACAAGATAGTATAATTTGTTTTGAAATTATTTGAGTCTGGCTGAAATTGTTCTTTTGTTATGCTTTAAATTTGTTGTTATTCTATTCGTTTACGGGTATAAATTGTTTTCTATTTAGGTTTCATTATTCTATTCCCTATTTACAGAATTGCTTTTTTGATTCTGCTTACAAAATTTATTAAAATTGACTAGTCATTATTGCTGTCACTAACCCTAATTTATAATATTTTAATGGTAACATTTTGAAAACTGATATGTTATGTTCGGTTTTCTATTAATGGTCGAGTTCGGAACGAAGCGGGTTTAAAGGGAGAAGCTATTTTTTCTCAAAAACGTGGGCTGTCTCAGAAATTGACAGACAGTTGGGCGGATGGTATCAGCCGCTTTTCAGGTTTCATACGCCTTCTTCACAACACATGAGTGTCTAAGCAATCAGCCCATAAGCCCATCCTTCGCTTTGCATTGTAAACTTGTTCTTTTTTTCAATTTTAATCTTTCTCTACAACTAAGTGATGCAATTAGTTTGTTCGATATGATTCTAGAAACTTTTCATAGTTTAGTTCTAAAACTTTAGATTTTAAATACTTTTATTTGTCACTAAGATGTCATATGTCCAGTCAATAAAATGTGAATAGTCTACTTATTTGTATTTAGAAAATTTTGATACATCATACTTTTTTTGCATATTTCATCATTTGTTTTTTATTTTTATAAAGGGATATGTGCCTATTATATGTTTGACACAGTTCATGATTGAAAACGTCGAATTTTATTATATCTATATTTCTTTTATTAGTATGCACAATAAGAGCATATTTTTGTAGACATTAGGTCACCGGTCAATTTGGCTTCAGTGAAAATGCTTGCAATTTATGATCTATACTGATACTGATAACATTTCTCATTATTCAAATTTTTTAACGATGAGAATGGTATTTACTCATTTGTTTGCTTTGTATTTCTAACATTATTCGCTGAAATCGTTGTAAAACAGATAGGAAAATGTCATTTGTTTCTGGTTAATTAATTTGAAGAATTCGAATAAAAAACATTGTTGGAATCACAAATTACGCGCCGAAATCTACTCTTCCTTATCCTTTAATTTATCTTTCCAACGTAATCATCAGAAAGGTTGATATTAGCGTGATCATATGAATCATTAAGCATTAAATAAATTATTTGTTAGTACTGAACGACTTAGAATCTATTCTCCGCACCATTTTTTCGATGGCCATTATAACATTTATGATGCAATCCAGTAACTATGACACGAAACAGAAATACCTAATGATCATCAATATCTTATAATCTTATGAAACAACCCATAGGGACATCTATTATCACAAATGAGCATTATTATCGTCACGCGAAAGTATTCCAATTCTTCTGGTTGTGATCATATAGAGGCAAAGGCTGCTGTGTTTGCGTGTACAAAGTTACGTGAGTGGGATTATTTTTAGGTAATCCGGATCCGTCCCAATAACTTTGGTTACATAAAAGGCATGCATTGTATAAACAATGAACAAAAGTTCGTCGCTATCAATATCCTGAAAAAGAAATAGTTGTACGGGTGATTCACTGTTGATCACTTCACTGTTAAATGATTTGCATTTTCCAAGTTTTCTGTCTTTTTTTTTCAGAAGATCGAGAAAAAGTGAAAAGGTCTTCGATCTGATAAAAGCCAAATTGGCACAATATTGCATTCTTTGTCTCCAAAGTCCTTCCAGGAAGTCGTCACTTTATATGTATACATATTTCGTACCATACGTCAAGTATTATCAGGTATATCAGAGTCCTTCGAACCATAATATCTCTACCAAAACTCCAATATTTCTTACTTTAATTTCTAAATTATCGTTAGATGAACTTCGTGGATCTCGAAAAGTAAGTCGCAGTCGTATTTTCCCGTCATCAGATGATGACTCCAAATCACAAAAACGGTATTGCCACGAGTAACGCTATAAATTTCGAGAAGCATGACGTAAGTTATTAAGAAAAGTTCCGTGCATGATTTATTGAAGGTTTTTTTTCTCTTTTCCTCTTTTCCTATCCTTTACTTTCTTATAATGCTAACTTCTGAGAAAGACAACATACCTTTGTGGAAATATCATACAAACTTATACCCTGCTTGATATCAATCACCAAACCACTAGGACGTCCTTGATAACTGCATGCAAATGTGCGTGTCTGATAATTATAATATTCAATGAAAAATTAATTTCAGGTAGATGAGTACAAACATATATATATATATATATATATATATATATATATATATATAT